CCTCCCCAAGGACCAGCACATTTGCCCAGTTTCACAAGTTCTAGCTCCATTTCACAAGTCTAGTCTTTACAGTAGCATCGTCGAAAGTTTGGGTTACCTCTCTACTCGGGTCTTTTAAGTGGGCTTCCATCTCTTTCTATTGGTTCTTATGATTTACACAGCCACAAGGACTTATTGTAAGTTTGCACTGCCCAGTACTGGTTTGCATTCCTTTGTATAACTACAGACCTTGTCCCAAAAGACAATGTCATGTGACTATTACACAAATGCCATGTGACCTGCCAGTCATGCTAGTGTGACACAAGTTACAGGTATCTTATCCCAACCAATTGCGAGAGACAGTTAACCGTAACACAGAGAGGATTTTCAAATTTTCTGTCAACACTAGGATTTGAACTCTGGACCTGCCACTTGGGAGTTGACAACCTGACCACTTCACTAGGTCGCCACACCCCTACCAATATGTTAATTAGTTATATTGAATCTGACTATTATTATGTAAAAGAAGATACTTTATTATTTAATCTTCAACATTGTAAAATCTATGTTAATTCACATGATTTATTTAATACTTCATCTTTCAATTGTTTGTTTTTCTGGATTTCTAAAAAATGTAATCTTTTAAAAAAATATTATCCAAAATTTTATGAAAATATAGCATTTTCTTATTTGCTTTATTCATCTTACATTACTATCTATTCCCAAAAAACTATAACTTTAATATTTCTATTATTAAATTTTGCTACATATCCCAAAAAATATTCTTATAGTGAATTATTTTATTTACAAAGTAATTCTTTTATCTTATTGCTAAATACTTCTAATTATTATAAATGGTAACATATTAAAGCACTTATTAACTTCAAATGAAACACCTATAGAAGATTTTATTATTTTATAACATAGGCAATATATTCAACTTTTATGTTCTGTTTTTTAATTGTTTAACAATTCTGAAGCACAAAATTTCTTGGAATGATCAAGTGGTTCTTTTGGTTGCAACTATTTCTTTTGAATTTATTCATTTAATTTTTAAAGTTCATCAATTTATTCATAAACTAATAGCATATATTGCTAGACCTTAGAATTAGTTTGGTATGTACAATATATCAATTTAAAAACTAATTGTGATATTTAATTAAAAATATTTAATACTAAAGTTACTCAATAGGATCAACACACTTCCTGTTTCCAGTGACTGAGTGTTAAAAAAAAAAAAGATATAGCAAATAATCAAGATTATCAACATGACTAACACTCTAACAGGGGCAAAAGCCTTTGTACTGAGTAAAAGAAAATGACCAATAATAGAAACAGTGAGAACTTATAACAAAACAAGAAAGTTATATAACACAGAAGCTGTAAGTCAGGATAAAGTCAATAAAAAAGAAAACTCAAATAAAGTTATAGTTGCCATAAGAAACTCCAAACACATGCATAACTACAATGATAATAGTTCCAGTAATTGGCATACAATATTAGAAAATATGTATCAACATAAGACACAATCTAAAGATGCTAAAAAAGAACCCTTTTTAGAAAGTACAAAAGGAACAGAAAATTTGACCAAGGTTTCTGTAGAAAGTTCTAGTAAGTCACTTGAACCAAACCAGAATGATAGACCTGTACATGATATATATGACCTTGAACAAATCTAAATAGTTACAACAGAGACAACACATATTGTTAAAAAATTTAACAACTCTATTCAGGAAGAAAATTCTAATGAAGAAAGTCATTCAAAAGAAAATTTAATGCACACACCTTGCAAATAGACCAGTCTGTTCACAATTTTAAGGAGAAGACATGCAACTTTCTCAAAATACATTTCAAAAGAAAGTATAACTACTAAAAATAAAAATACCCTAATATTTGATATACAAAGTCTTGAAGGCATATCTATAAATGAAATAATAGCTGTGATGTATGCTAAAATAGGTGATGATTTTGTAGCAACAAAGCTATACTTCACAAAAGGAAAATGGACTCATCTAGAAATAGGGTTTAAAGATAAAGGTAAACAAGGATACTATGCTGTAGAGAGTATAAAGCTTTTTAGGTAAACACTTTTGGGATATATTCCTACAAACTTGAGATGAACCCACTTTGCAATAAAAATTCATAATGTTTCAATGAGAAAGAAGGACTTCATATTAGAAAAAATTAAAGAAACATTCAAAATTTTTGAAATAATCAAATTGATCAAACTCCTTGTGTATGAAGATACTCCAATTTGCACTAATTATTGTATAGTGATCTATGAGACAACTAATGATCCAGAATTAGAAAGTAGAATTCCAAAACACACTAGTGTGTGAGGTTAAAAAGTCTTTACTGAATGGAAATCAGCATTCAAAGTCTGTTTCTATTGTGATCAAACCAGACATATCAAGAAACATTGCCCACAATTTAAAGAGGTAATAGCCACCAGGCAACTCTATAGGAATCTTAAGATGAATAAACAAGATGAGCAGAACATTACTTCAGACAATCAGAACTTTAGTGAAAATAATTCATATATAAATAAAACTATCAAAATAAAGAAAGTTAATGAGCTAGCACAAGAGGAGAGTACAAGTGAAAAAGAGAATAATATTATATCAATAAATGGAAATGAAAACTTAGAAAACATGATTGATGAAGAGAGAAATGTTGAACTTAATAATAATATGATACAAGATTCACAGGTTATAATGGAGAATATAAAATATTTAGAGATCAACAAAACAACTAATATGAACTGTAACGAAACTGAACCCTCAGATGATGGATTCACAACAGTAATTTACAAGAAACACAAGGTCAAAACTAAGAATAATTAAGAGAAACATCATTATAAACTGTATACCAAGAAAAGGCGAAATAGAGAGAACTCTCTAAATAAGACAGGTCTGATAGAAAACATTAATACCATAACATAATCAACAAACAATAAATAAGCACAAAATCAAAGTTACCACATTGAATGTTAAAGATTTAAATAACAAACAAAAGTGCTGGGAAATGTTGCCTTTATTAAAAACATATACAATAGATTTAATTATAATACAGGAAACTAATTTAAGAGACATTAATACTAGCAACTTCACCAAGCAACAATGGATGTATAATTCACATTGGACTTTAAAGATGACAATTCTTGCTAAAAATGAGATATAAAATTTGAAAATATATATAATTCATTTGATGATAGAGTAATAGACACTACCTTCTAATATGGACAATGTATATTCCATATTATTAATGTTTATGCACCTCTTAACATAGAGAATAGACAGATATTTTTTGAGGAATGGTTACCAATATTGAATAATGATATGATAAATATTATTGCTGATAACTTTAATACAAACCTAAACCCAGAAGACAATAGAATCAGTCAAGTTGGCATACATTATAACTCAATGAGTAAACAATTTAGAACATTAATGAAAGATTTATGAATATAGCAGACATTGCTAAGCAACAACCATTCCTTACCTTTTTTCAAAAGACCAAAGGTAGTTACATGATGTCCACAAGATTAGATTATATATTTATTAACAAAAATCATATTCAATTCTGCAAGTATATATTAACAAAATATGGCAACTTGGATTACTTACTTGTGGAAAGTAAGTTAAAGCTTATGCAGACTCCTTCACAAGCTGTCTACTGAAAGCTAAACAAGTAAAGTCTGTAGGACACTAGGATCAAAAAAGAAATTACTGAAGTTCTTCAGGAGGCACAAACAGTAGAGATATGAGATTTTGAGAAATGCAAAATACAATTCATAATTAGAAGGTTTAAACCTCCAGTAGCACCAGAAAATAAAATTCAAAAACTCAATATGAAGATTACAAAATTAAATACTGAAATAGCAAAAGATGTAAAAAAGGCAGACCTTCTACTTGTAGTAAATCAACTATCAAGCAAATTGCAGGATGAGTTAATGCTGCTCATTAAAAAATGACAAATATGATCTAAGGCAAAATGGATAAAAAATGAAGAAAAATCAACAAGTTATTTTTTTATACAATATAAAACTCACTATACAACTTTAGTAATAAATAAAACAGAATTTAGGATGATTTAGACAATACAAATCCAGGAGAAATTATATAATATATCAAATATGATATAAGAAAATTTACAAATCAAAGCATTGCAATACAGAAGTAATAAAAGAATTAATAAAAATTTTTCACAAATATCAGTAGAACAAAATCAAGATCTAATGAAACAAATTACAATAGAAGAAATATTGGAGGTTATAAATATGCTTTCAAATTATAAATCTCTAGGCATCGATGGACTTACATATAAGTTTTACAAGAAGTTAAAAGACACTATTATTCTAGTTCTATATAAAATTTTTAATGAGATATTAAATACAGGTATGGCTCCAAAATCTTGGTATAAAAATATTATAACCCTTATTCCCAAGAAATCAGAATTACTTGAATTGATTAATAATTGGTATTCAATATTGCTTACAACTACAATGTTAAGATTTTCATGAAAATAATAGCAAATAGGTTGAATCCTCTATGCAACCTTCTGATTGGTAATTATCAGCAAGGCTTTATCACCAGATGTTCAATAATAGACATAACATTAAATATTTTATCTATCATAAGAAATCAAGATACCCAAACACAAACCCATTGGATTCTCTTATTTGATCAAATAAAAGCATTTGATAAAATCAATTATAGCTTCCTTTAATACATTTTAGAAAAGATAAAATTTAATGATACTTTTGTTACAATAATCAAAAATATTTTTGAAGCTTAAAAAATGTATATAGCGGATGCCAGAATAATTTCAGAGGCATTTAGGATAGAAAGAGAGATCAGGCAAAGAAATCTACTTCCTTCTCTTTTATATAATAGTATTTGAATCTTTCCTTAAAACATTTTACAAGAATCTCAAAAGAATTAAAGTCAATAATCACCATTTCAAAATAGCAGCATATGTCAACAACCTCATAATAGGCCTCTCATTACATGCTGATTGGGAAGTCTTCTTTACAATAGTTAAAAAATATGAATCTGTGTCAAATTCAATAATTAACAAATTGAAATCAATAGTAACCCCTCTCATCAACAATGCGTGAAAAACAGAAATAGAAAAGTTGGCAGATTTCAAAATCATAGAAGAGGATGAGATGATTAAAATCTTAAGATATCAAATAGAAACTTGTAAAAGACCAAAAAAAGACTTGTGATCAAAAATGATCTTAAAATTAAAAAATTTTAGTAATAATGTAATATAGTGTAATCTCTCCTTTAAAGGAAAAATCCTGATCACAAAATTTTTGTTATTGTCTAAAGTATGATATATGATATATTTACTGCCTTTCAGTAAAAAATAGATAACAGAAATCAATAATTTGATAATAGAATATGTTAAAAAAAAATCCCAAATGCTTTCACATTTCTCAGTGTTTCAACAAATCTCAGAATTCAGAGGAATGAATATCCCAATTCTACATAATATACTAGAAGTCAGGTTGTTAACAGTATAACTTAAGCTTCTTATAAATGAAAATTTATGAACCAAAGTTAAAAGAGATTTAATAAAAGCTAACCTTCACAATAAAAGAAATATAGATATTAAAATGGCACTAAACAGTATTATAATTAAAATGAAATCTTGACCAGAGTAGTAGAAACCTTATTTGACTATCTGAAAATACATAGAAAGATCTATTAGTTTAAACTCAGATACATGGCCTTGGAATTTGGAAAACATATGCATAACAAACATCAAGAAGCATGAATATATTGTTAAAAAAGGTTCAGATTATTTAAATCAAAAGATATTATCTCCAACAACAATACAAGTAAACTTATAGCAAATAGAATGAAACTGGATCTATATAAAAGAGGTCAATAACTGGAAAAAGGATATTTTTTGAAGGTTTCAATATAGAGCCTTGCCACTTGGATATAGACTTTTACATATATCATAAGATGTAAATAAAAATTGTCCAGTTTGTTCTGAAGAAGTTCAAACTCCAAAACATTTTGATCTTAAATGTATAATTAATCAGAAAATTTGTAAAACAGCATATAGTTTAATAAAAGGGAAAAACAGAAAGGAGATTCTCAAATCGATAAATGAAATATTTACTGGAAAAAATGTGAGACAGATAGATAAACAAAAAGCAACATTATGGCTTAACATTCATGTAATTTATGAAATTTGGTGTGTACACACAAGTTAAATGGGGAGGAAAGAACATGACAGAAGCGATACTTACACACGTAGTCAATAACAGAATTAGTAAGGAAATAAAGCTGCTAAAGGAGTTGAAAAGTAACAATAGGAAAGAAAGAAACAAAATACTCCAACATTTAGTAATAGACAATAAATTCTGTACATATGTAAATAATTATTAATATCCAATATAACTGCACTATGATGTAACTTTAGTATGACGCAATAAAGTACGCCTTATGGCGGTTAAAAAAGAAAAAAAAAATTTAATACTTCAATTAATAATTTAATTATTATTATAGATCTTGCTGCAATATTAGTTCCTACAATAACTTCATTAATATGGTTACATGATGAAACCCCATCAATTTGGATTATAACTATCGCTGCCTTTTTACTTAAAATTAAATTTTTATTATTCTTCCGTGCTTTAGATTATTTTGGAACTTACTTTGCAATTATGATTGTGGTAGCACAAAAGTCTTTTCTTTTCTTGTTGTTTTAGGAATTATAGTTTTAGCCTTTGCCCATTCTTTGCATCTTTTATTACGGCCTACTAGTGAATATTCTTATGATCAACCAAGTTTTAATAGTGATGCTAATAATCCTTGGAATCTTGTTCCGACATATCAGTTTATTTCATCTAATGGCACTGTTGGACAATCAACACTTATTGAAACTCCAGGTGACAGCACAAATTTGTTTACAATGTTTAGTACTTCAATTTTGGCTGTATATTTTATGCTAACAGGTATTATATCATATAATAATTTATTAACCAAAAGGTAATAAGAATATTAATTATATTTTTCGTTTTTAGGCGATTCAAGTTACGTTTCATCATGGACTTTAAAAAATAACTGGACATTAGCCTTTTTATTAGTTATATTTTCATTTTTTACAACTATTTATTTATTGAATTTGTTTATTTCATTACTTGGAAATGCTATTGATGATAAAAATAATGAAGAATCTTTTTTACATCTAAGAAGTGAGGTAAAAAAAAATTATTTAGTAATTAGTTAGAAATGACAAAAATAGTCACTATATTTTATTATTAGATATTGTCTGAGATTGAACTTTTTTGGATGTTGCCTCATCAAAGAAGAAAGAATACTTAGTTTTCAGAAATCTTGTAATTAATTATTGTTTTTTATATTCTAAAACTAAACTATATTAATTTATAGATTAATTTATATATATTAATTTATAATATAAAATTTAGATAATACAAAGCTTCAGTCAAGGAGCTTAAAAAATATGTAGAAAGTATCGAAGATAAGAAAAGCTTTCTTCCTCAAATTCTGGAGATTACTAAGACAGAAGATTCTGAAGAGAAATTAAAAAGTCAAATAAATGAAGCCTTTACAAATCAAATAAATGAAGTCTTTAAAAATCAAACAAATGAAGTTTTGAAGAATCAAATGGACGAAACGTTGACAAATATAATAAATGAAGTCTTTGAAAATGAAACATTTAAAAATCAAATCAAAGAAGTATTGAAAAATCAAATTGATGAAACGTTGACAAATAAAACAAATGAATTGAAAAATAAAATGGACGAAACGTTGACAAATAAAACAAATGAAATGAAAAATCAAATGGACGAAACGTTGACAAATAAAATAAGTGAAACATTAAAGCATCCGCTTGAAAAATTAATAAATTAATTGAGCTTATTGAAAAAAAGGAATCAGAATAATAATTTTTCAGAATAACAATTGTGCGTAAAAAAATTTCAAATAGTATTTTTATAATTATATAATGAACAATAAATTTTCGGAATTGTTTGGTGGTTCAGACAAAATTTACGCATCCACTTTCTAAATTTTCTAAAGTTTAAATTTTTTAATTTAGCATGTCAGTTTTCTTTATCAGAGGGTGATTTGCTTTAATCGCTTTGATTGGTTTGATTATCAAATATAAAATCTTTTTATAGATAAATTACATAATTTGGGCACTAATTTAAAATATAGATACTGTAGTCAAATAACTAATTTAAAATATAGATAATCACAAATCAGGTTTACCAAGGTCAAATATGATAAGGTGAAAGTTAATGAATCGAATTATACCAGGGACGGAGTGGTGAAATCACGAAGTGTATGGCTTATATGGTGTTTGAAGTGGGATTTGTCCACGAATTCTTAAGTTTTATTTGTTCGCGTGGTTTATTCATCAAATTTTAGATATTTTCACATGAATCCATCACGATTACTTATTATTACTTTATTCTTTTTGCTATTACCTCATATTCCTTCGATACTAACACTTCTGTAATATTTTTTTTTGATTTTCTCATTATTATATTTTTTTTGCCACCCATTGCTGTAGCATTATGATATTTTAGTTTATTTTTGTAATAATGTTTATTTGGTCACTTCATTTTTACGATCTGCATGAAGGTGGTGAAAGGCATATTTAAAGGACAGTTCTCATTAAAAAAAGAAAGTAAAAATATATTTATGTGTTTTTAACATACATAATATACAATAACAGATACCCGTAAATAATGCTCGTTTTAAAACTACTTTATATAATAAAAAGAATTGTCTTTACTAACAAGATTATTGATAAATATACATATTTATTACTAAAATTATCATTCCTTAATAAAACCTTAAATAAAACCAGTACTCGCGCAAATATAAGGACAATAAATAATAATTCTAGAATTTTCATACAAATAAAATAACTTATGCGTAAGCACTTGAATAAATGTCCAATAATAAAGAGACATAATCCTTTCTATGTTCACAACCTAAAACTATAATTAGACAGCAATAATAAGAAAGTCTCTTCCCGGATATACTTATTGCAAAAGGCAAGATCAACCTAACAAATTTTTTTACTGCAGTAATTTGTGATACAAATTCCTGGCATTCCTAGAATTCCTGGAATTCAAGCAATTAAAAAATAGTAGAGAAAATAAGAAAAGTGAGGAAAATAAGAATAACTAAAAGATAAAAATAATTAAAAATTAGAATGCATGTTATTCTTGTATATGTAAAAATTAAGTATAAAAAGGGTGAAATTTTCAGAGTAGAAGTGTTTGCTCCAACCAAGTTCCTTAAAATATGCTTCTCTTGAGTTGTTAAAATTCGTCGTTATATTAACTCTTGTTCCTGTGACAATCGTGTACCCATTTTCGTATTGAATAACTTTATACACAATCCAAGCTCGTAATCTGTTACCCTGCTTGTTTACATGATCGTCAAATACTCTACTTTCAAATCAGATAAGAAAAAGAGTGATAATTAGTAATCAGATCCCTAATAAACTAAAATTTAATTGGGTCGTGACCACGTGACATGTGAAGCGAAATCGCAGTGGTAATACTACTAACTAAAGAAGTATAACGTTAGTAAGGTAGTAAGAAATCGGCTAAACTACGTAAGTGAATAGTAGAAGAATACTTATCTTAACACTATCGCTATTAACCTCCATACCCTGGTTACTCACCAATTCTTCCACGCATCAATCGTAGCTTTACCAATATCAAAGATTTGGTTATATTAGCTATAGTGTTTGGTTAGAATAGTTTAGTTAATACTAATATCGGCTCTACAACTGTTCCGACGTAACTCCCACTTTTTTAAGGTGCATTCGGATATTGTTTCAAATTCTCTAGAGATCAGAATAAATGAAATTAGTTTTAAAGAAATAAAAGTGATAACAGAGGTTCTTGATAAAAATATCGCTTTAACATCATTATTCCTTAGTTCAAATTTATTAAGGTTTAGTTCAAACCAACATGAAGTTCGAGAAGACAAGTCATTGGCGGATGCTCTTTGTAAAAACATTACTTTAAAACAGTTAAATCTTTGTCAGTATCTGCTTGATTCTAAAAGAACAGAAATATTAGCAGAAGCACCTTGCAAAAATGCTAATTTAACCTCTTTAAATCTTCATGATAATCTAATTACTTTTAAGGAGTAAAATCATCATATGAAACTCTTTATAAAAATACAACTCTGACTTTTTTAGATATTAGTTGTAATAGGCATGTATTTTTGGAAGTAGAGTCTAGAGGTGCAGATATATTGTCGCCACTAGTTATTACCTATTTTCAACCAGATTTTTATATTGAAGTAATTAAGTTACGGCCTTATTGCGTAAATATTCTGCACCCCTAAAAGAGGCATTATCGTATGCATCTTGCGTTAGCATCACTTTAACTTACCCAAACCTTTTCTAACAATGGATTTACATTTATAGAAGACAAATATTAGCATAGGTTCTTTGCATAATCACTGCTTTAACTTATTTAATCTTAGTGATAATTATCTTGATTATGAAGTAGTTGAAATACTAGTAAAAGAACTTTGTATAAACACTACCTTGATTGTTTAGACATTTCCAATAATCAACTGAGTTCTAAAGAAAGCCAAATATCGAAAAAAATTACTAATAAAATAATATAAGAATTTTATTAAATTTTAGGATTTAAAATTTTAAACATTATAGTTATTAGTAAAACTAAATATTTTATTCATTTATTGAGTAAAGTATATAAAATTAAATGTGGCTTTAACAAAAATTAACAAAATTTGATTTTTAATTTAAAAAATTATTTACAGTAATATTTGAATGCTGAATAACTTAATAATAATTTTGAATCAATGAACAAACAACTATTTAGAATTTTATCATTTTGCGCAAATGGATTATAATGCACCACAAACGGTTTAATTTAGGGTAAGGGAAAATGTTAAGATGTTAAGATAGATTAGGTAGAGCGTTAATAAAGAACACGCCTTCTAAAAAATTTACAATAAATTTTTTTATTAGAACGCGAAAGGTGGTTTCATATGCAAAATCATGAGCATTAGCGATTTTTTAGGAACATTGCTATTTTTTTCAACGCTTTGGTCTTATGATCCAATGGGTTGATCAGATGACACATGTGCCAATTATAAATTTTGTTATTTGTATTTGCAATTGAAATTTTAATGCCTTATATCTCAAGACATCTAAATGGGCCCAGGATACCTTTGTATTTGGCGATTCTAGCATTTAAGCTTATGAAACAAATCGTTATTTTCAAGAAGTTTATTGTAAACTAGTGCTAACCATAGCTTCATGTAATGTCAATGTAGGTATTGTCTCGAAATAACGCCCTAGGAGTGTTAATTAAAGCTTTGGACCGAATTAGGCGTAATTAAGGCCGAATTACGATTAATTCGACAAAAATTTTAACCTACACCCGGGCATTATTTCGAGACAATACGGTAAATAAAGTAAAATTGCAACTAACTTGTTAAATAAAAAATTGAAATCAACTTACATTGTTATACAAGAGCCTATATTTACCATAAGGGCTAATTTTGATTATTATCTAGAATAGCAAAACTGGTTACTTATAACTCAGGCCAGATTCGAATCAAAAAACCTTGGACTTGGCCAAACGATCTTTAAATTTGACCGGAATTAAAGTAATCGGTTCTGCTATTTAGATCATAATTAAAATTAATCCAATGCAATTTGAAACGTTCAAGAAAAAAAGTCTGAATTCTTAATCCTCAGATCGGAAAATAATATTTCATGCCTATGAGAGTGATGTATGTACCAATCAGAAATAATCACAGCATACTTGAATGATTTGTGAAATATTGTCTTTTTAATATTTTTTTCTTTTCAATATTTTAATACGTATTAACATTTTTAAAACCAACAAATAAGGATGCAATAAGAATTTCATTAAAAGAGCCGTATTTGCACAACCATAATGAAATCTTAAAATAATAAATTAAATTGTTATCTATTGTTATTTTATTGAGAAATTTAATATACAAACTTATTATTCGCTTTATAATGTAAATATTATTCAGAAACATTCACAAAAAGTTCTAACAATTTAACAACTTCACATTTATAATTTATACTTGATCATATTAAATCCTTGTTTGGTGAGAATTACTAAATCATTACACTCATGCGAACAGACTGAAATTTCGAGAAGCGAAGGAATAAAAATGAAATTGCAAAATATAGTCATATAAAACATGATGGTTTTAGTTTTATAATTCAGACTTTTACAGATACGCAAAATAATGTAATTTATAGCGATATGCATTCTGCAAAAAATTTTACGATACTGGACAGGCTAAGAATTCAATTCTCTTGATAAGTGCTTAATTTTAGTGCTGCTTGTAATAGTAAATATACCTAAGAACCCATTTGAAAATATCACCAAAATTCAAAAAATTAATTATATGGTTATTGACATCATTATAGCCCACTTTCCCTAATTGCACCAAAAAGGCAACCCTAAACTTTCCTCGGCTTTAGCCATCCCCAAAATTAGTCAATTGCATAAATATATTTTGTATCACTTTTTATGTACGTAACAATCTGTCTACAGTAGTTTCATTTTTATACTGCGTTTTCAAAATGATATTCTTACCAAACGAATGTTTTTTTGAAATATTTAATAATCTTAGAAATTATTATAGATTCTTATTTTCATGTCTTCTTGTAAACCGTCAATGGTGTAGAATTATTGTTCCAATATTATGGAGAGAACCAGATTTTAGAGATAAAAGAATTATAAAAATATTCCTTTTATCATTAAATGAAAAAGAAAAAGTACCATTAGTGCAATTAAATATATTACTTCCAAATGGTTCAAAACCATTATTTGAATACCCATCTTATATTATATCTGCTAAATGCAATAATTTAAATGTAGGAATTTCAAATTGGTTTACTGATGAAGGATATCAAAAATCATTGAGTCAAATTCAACTAATTAAGACTTCATTAATTGAAATGCTTTTAAGAACAGGAGAAAAACTTAGATAATTAAAAACAGATCGTTCTAAAGTCATAACGACACCAGTAGAAGCCCTTTATAAAAACTCTACTATTACTTCTTTAGATCTTATTTGCGTTCATTTTGGGTTGAAGGAATAAAAGCACTATCGGATGCTCTTTGCAAGGGTACTTGTCTAAATTCATTAAAGCTAACAAGTTGTGGAATTGGCTCTAAAGAAGCAAGGTTGTTGGCAGATGCACTTTGTAAAAATACAACGATATCCTCGCTAGAAATTTCTTATAATTTCCTTGATGATAAAAGAATACAAAATATTTGCAGAAGCCCTTTATAAAAACACCGCTCTGATTACTCTTAACCTTGATTATAATAAATTTGGGTTTGAAGGTGTAAAAGCACTTGCAGATGCTCTTTATAAAAACATCACTCTAAATTCCTTGAATCTTGACGGTAACAATCTTGGTATTAATGAATGCAAAATATTGACAGAAGTTCTTCATAGAAATATTACTATAACTTCCTTAAGTCTTTGCAATAATAACTTAGGCTTTGAAGGAATAAAAGTAATAGCAGAAGCTCTTTACGTAAATACCGTTTTAAATTCTCTAAACATCAGTAATAATATATTTGATTCGGAAGGATTAAAAATTATTGCAGAAGTCCTTTGTAAAAATATCTATTTAACCTCTTTGTATCTTAATTCAAGTGAACTTAAAGAGGACAATTCATTTGCAGAAGCTCTTTGTAAAAATAAGACTCTAAAATATTTAAACCTTTATCTTAATTATTTTGATTCTAAAATTGCAAGAATGTTAGCAGAAGCTCTTTGCAAAAATATTAATTTAACTTCCTTGGTTCTTTGCAGTGCTCAAATTACTTTTGAGGGAGTAAAAGTAATATCAGAAGTTCTTTATAATAATACTACTCTGACATCCTTAGATATTATGTGTTATAGGTATGTATTTATGAGTAGAAGATTATTATATGCACTTTACAATAGCATCAGATTAGCTTACTTAAATCTTTTAACAGTAATCTTGATCACAAAAAAATAAAACCATTAGCCGATGCTCTTTGCAATAACACCACTTTAATTAATTTAAACCTTTCCAACAATAGACTTACTTTTAGAGAAGGAAAAATATTAGCAGAAGCTCTGTGCAAAAACACTTCTATAACCTCTTTAAATCTTAGTATTAATAGACTTGGTTATAGAAGAGTAAAAGTATTATTAGAAGCTCTTTATATGAATACTACTTTAATTCATTTAAATATTTCTAATAATGCGCTTAAATCTGAAGAACGAAAATTGGCAAAAATTGCTTACAAAAATAATAACAGCATTTTATTAGATTTTGAGAATTATGACTATTAATATTACAACAATAATGTATTATGATTGCGATAGTGATTGTGTTTATAAAGCTGATCAATCTGAGCTTGTGTTGACTCAATACAAACTTCAGATATATGATAAATTGTCAGCTTATAAGCACAATCGTGATCGCAAAAAAAATTGATAATCAATCATGAAGATAAAATAAATTATTGCATTTTGATCTAAAGAATTTTCAAATTACTGTAAATTATTTTTAACAGGAATTATTACCGTTTTCCAAAATCGTTAAAATTAGATTTTCAACACTTGCATATGTTATACGTCATTTTGGAATTCATAAGTAACATTAGGGTTGTAAATTGATTCTATAATAATCGTTTTAATAATTAATCGAGTATAGCAGACTTTCATTGTAATTGACTGATTTTTGTATCCTGTGATATTGCAAAAATATCATTGGTTAATCAAAATTATTCGCAAGAACAAATTTATATGAAATCGTATCTGATATTCGTAATTAGTTACTAATACCAAATAAAATTAATTGGAATTAATAAATGCATTACTTCGAAATCTATCAACTTAAGGCTAAAAATCCACACAAATTTAAAAAAAAATTATAAAAGCTCGAAAAACAGATAAAAAGTATAAACCATTTATTTTAAGAGCAATAAAAAACTATATAAATAAATTTTTAATAGTACATGATACGTAGTAGTTAATAAATGTCGTATGAATATAGCAATATTTCTAAATTAATAATCTTGAACGTAACGTTATTCTTAGTTTCAGCAACAAAAACTCACCAGCATATAAAAATAATATACTTACAAGATTTCTACGAATAATATATTTTTATTGTGCAAAAACAAAAGACAACACAACACATTCTTGATAATCTGTGATTTGTCTGTCCATTGTAATCTTATAATGTAAAACCATATTATAATAGTTATTATTGTCTATTTATTATAATTAATAATATTAATTAAAATATGATTTTGTGTTTAGACCAATAAGTTAAATATATCTTTCGTGACTCCATTGAATTTAACAATATTGGATGGTAATTAAACTCTTCGTAATAGTTGAGCTTTATTTTAGGTTATTGTTAAATAAATTTAGGAAATAATACAAGTAGTAATAATAATAATGCTCAATGATAAAAATCTTTAAACCTACATCATTTTGATGTTAAGACATTTAAGAGAAAACATTAAATCGCAATATTCCCACTCGTATTTAAAACCATCCAATGCCATTTATCATATTCAAGATTATCAAATGTCTTACAGAAATAGTTTTTTTCAAGCTATTCTCCCGGTGTGCTAGCTATGACTTTTCATTTATTGAAAATATGTACGTAAGTCTTTATACTTACTGACTACGTGATATGGAATTTATTGCAACTGTGACCTAAAAAAGTCAAGCAACCACGTTGCATAAATAGTATTTGCTTAATTCAGTGTAAGTGAACAAGAAGATTTGGATATCCGTAAAGTATGGTTCGGTTAATGAAATATAATGAAAGTTCTTGTAAACATGTTTAAAAAGGTGAATCATTTACTCGACTCGTCCATGATTTACTTAAAAACTACGTATACTAACTATGAAATACCCTATTATAAAGCATTGAACTAATGCTATATAAATAATTATCTCTTTGTTATCAACTCACATAGATATCAGGATCAGTGTTTGAAATCTGAGATTAAATCAGTGGTTTCATGTTCTATTTAGTGTTTTAACGTCAATTTTCGGTGTTTTCTAATATAAAAAATTTCAAATTTTCAGCTTTCAGCCGTTCTTATTCACAAATTTGTGTTCTCATGAGAACTCTAATTTCAAATATTGATCAAGACCACCTGTAAATTGATTAAAATTTATATTTAAATTTTAAATATACTCACAATGAAAATTTTCAGAATTAATAATTTTTTATCGATATTATTTATTTAGCTTTTTATATTTTTGATGTAGATTTATGTATAATTAATTTCTAAACATATGCAATTTTCTTTTTTTTTTTTAATTGATTTGTTTAATGCAAAGAAATTTTTATTTATTAGAACAAGAGATCAATACTTATACTGATTTAGTTACAGTCAACGTTTACTCAAGTATGATACTTGTACAAGCCACAATATAGACAAGATTTGATGCATGCATACATGCGTGCATACGCACATAGGTCATTTAAAACTGGGTGCTCCCTGAACTCGCAACCAACAGCATTTAAATTCACGCATAACCAGAATCACTATTAATGCAAAATCTGATACGTAGGAGTCCAGTTTCTGATTACGTAGCATACGAACCAAATTTATTTAGGAGTGTAACAATTGCAACTAAATTCGAAATGAATGTTGCGCAATGTAATACATACGTACGTACATAACCTCAATAAATTTAATGTTTCATATGTAACATTTTCTTGTGTCAAAATTTCAATTGTAAAGCAGTCAGAAAAATTCAACATTTCTTCAGATGTCACTTAAATAGTTAACAATTATACCAAATTGAATATATATGATAACGAGTCAGAATTTTTCTAATGAAATTGTTAAAGAAATATGTAATTTGTATAATGAAGAAAGGGTAAAAGGCAAAGGTTCTAGTTCGATTCTTAACACATTAGAACAATTTATAGTAAAAATGAAACAAAATCCAGATGATATTATTAATTGTTGTTTAAATGATCATGTTAATCCTATGGTTCAAAACATTCTTGCAAGTTGTTTTCTTTATGGTAAATGGGTTAAAAAGGATATGCGTAAGACATTCATTTGTTATCAAAAATCTGCTGATATGGGTGATTCTAATGGAATATTTGGAGTTGGTATTTGTTATATGTTTGGAATTGGTATTGATAAGAATGAAAATGAAGCATCCGTTTATTATCAAAAATCTGCTGATATGGGTGATTCTAATGGAATGTTTGGTATTGGTACTTGTTATGAGCATGGAATTGGTGTTGAAAAGGATGAAAACAAGGCATTCATGTATTATCAAAAATCTGCTGATATCGGCAATTCCTGTGGAATATTTGGAGTTGGAGTTTGTTATGAAAATGGAATCGGTATTGAAAAGGATGAGCATAAGGCATTCATTTATTATCAAAAATTAGCAAATATGGGGGACACTGATGGAATATGTGCACTTGGAAAATGTTATAATAGTGGAATTGGTGTTGAAAAGGATGAATATAAGGCATTCATTTATTATCAAAAGTCTGCTGAAATGAAATTGGACTCGTAATAAATTATCTATACATATTACAACAGATTTATATTTTTAGTTAAGAATATTTTCATTATTTATTTTACATGTAGTTAAAATTATAAAATAACGATAATAATATTACTATTACTAGTCAAATTGTCAAAATTGAACATACTCAGTTTGATTAATTTACTGTCAAAATATTTGAATTTTTATACTGTTTATTTGCGGCAGATTACTGACTCTATTGAACAGGCATCCAGCCAACTAAATACCTGTTTGGCAAAGAGAATGCTAGATACAGTCAGAATCCAGAAAATTAAGTCTCAAAACTTAATTATCGTACCGTTTAATGTTGAATATATAATATTTAGAATCTGGAGATGATTAGTACGTAAGCATAATTCTAGCCATCTGCAGGTTATACTTAATTTTTTTACCAACATCATGATGCGATAGTTAAGTTTCAGGATTTTTGTTTTCAGGAGCTCGACTTATAACCCTAGATTACAAACAAAAATTTTCGTGCAACTGTTAACTAGAAGATGGCCTATTTTATTCAATATTATTTTTCAGATATAGCGACCAATGAATTTTTCTAAGTAATGTCAATTTTCCAAATGTCGAAAGTCAAGTCGGAACTGTCTTGATTGATGATAAGTTTTTGTCAGTATTTGATGTTCCACTGACTAAAACAAGCCCCTGAATTATATCTTCTTGCATGCATTAATTTTAGACAGTTTTAACTTCAGGCGTTTGAACCTACGACTTCAAGTAAATGTTAACGATAAAATAATTTTTAAATTAATTTTTCATAATTTTTAGATATTATAATTTGAGCTAGTTGATTTTGAAGAGTTAGGTTATTATACTGAAGAATCAATGTGTAACAATCAAGAAATAAATATTTGGTGTAGTATCTAAGGCCGATGGAATTCTTAGATGTTGTTTAAAGAGCTTAAATAATTCCGAGATTTGACGGCTAATGTCTTACAAGATATCCATTACAGCATTATCAGTTAAGCATTTACTAATTTCTCCCCACACTTTCTGGTTGTGATTATTTAAATATAACTGTCCTTTTTAAATGTGACATTTCGATTAGTATTATTGTTAATTTTCATGTTACATCAGATCTTGTCCTCGTAAGAGAAATTAGTGAATGCATCAGATAATAAATATGTTATTTATGTTAATCAATGCTGTGGAATTTCTCAAGACCCTATGATGGACAATTATTTAATAGTAATGCACTGTTTTGAAGACGGTAGCCTAAGACAATATCTAGATAATAATCATATTCAATTATCTTTTGGAGACAAGCGACTATATCACATTCATTCTCAAGGAATAATTCACAGAGATTTTCGTCCTGATAATATACTAATTATAAATAGTGAAGTATTACACCTTATTACAACGTTCATTATAATATTTCCTTGACCATAAATATAGTAACGGACTTCATCCTAATTTACATATTATTAACGTACCTCAACTATTAAAAAATTAATTATCAAATGTTGGAATGACAACCCTCTAGCCTGTCCAACAGTTTTGGAGTTATTTAATCTTTTTGAAGATTGTTATTGTGGTCAGGATGATGAAATAAAACAGATGGACGATACAGACAAATTAATAGCATTAGAAACATACCAAATACTGTACATCCACAAGTCATTCATAAAATTTAACTATTTAATTTAAATTTTTAAAAAAAAGATTATATTTCCAAAAAATTGAATGAACTTTATATTGAAAATAATTAGGGTAGTTAGACTAACATTCCATAGTATCCTTAAAGTTTTAACAATAATAAGTGATCCGATTTTATTACTCATTGTATAAAAATTAATGTGAACATTATGATTAATATTAAATCTTTTTTGAGCATTTAGAATAATCTAATATATATTATACGTTGGAATGGAATTGTTGTGGAATGTGCCTAGGTTGATTCCAAATAAATATCTCTTGTAATGGATTCTAAAATGTGTTCAAATCGTTAGAAAATTCCAATTCAACTTACAATATTTCATCGAGTACGTTGTTTTGAATTTAATCGTTTTAAGATAGGGTTTATACATAACGCAGCACACTACAAATTAATTAAAAGCTTTACATGAAGTTTTACATCTATTATTGGTGAGAATAACAACTACTTTCACAGAGTACATTCATTTTTTTTACATTTTTTACAATGATTTTTGCAAACCTGTTGTTACAATTGCATTTAATGTTATCTACATGTTGAAGAGGGTTATATAATAGACTCTCGAACACTTTTGAGTTACAGGCAATTATTTCAATAACGACTTAAGCTTCTGTAAGAAAAAAGTCGGTTATAGAAATTACTAAGTATTCTTAAGAACCCATTGCACTTTTTATATCAAACTATTCGAAATTTTCAAAATTTGAGTTCATTATATCCTGAGTCGACAGTTACTACTAATTTTGAGAACTTATGGAAGGAATTAATTAGAATAAAAATAATTCAAATAGTGCCGGACTTGTATCCAAGTTTATGTGTGCAATTCTCCAAAACTTTGAGGATATCACAGGTGAATGTTTTCAATTGTGTGTTGTATTTGCTGGATTGTATAAAACTTAATACAAAATCCAAGTCTTAATTGTTTTACGTCGATTTGTTGCTAAAATGTTTGGAAAGAAATTTTTCGAATACATTATAAGGAAAAATAGATAATTGGGTCATCGGGAATTTTGTAAAGAGCGAAAAAAATGAAATAAGAATAATAGAAAAAATTGTATTTTACCTTGACAATTTATCATGACGATAAAATGTAATTTAATTATCGTTACATCAATCGATTACACATTAAGTGTAGTTGCTTTTAAATTTCGTATCAACTTGGGCTACATTTGGAATTCCATTCCAACTTAAGTGGATATTAAATCTACAATAATTCCTTTCCGACGTACAACATTATACTAATACAAATTTATATACGTAAATTCATGAATAAGTATTAATATTAGGATAAGGTTAGTTTTAAGGTTTAAAGAAAGATATGATTTTTGATAAAATCCTTTGTTAGCATCTCTAATCTTGATGATTGTTTACACTGTTTTTGATAGGATAAAAAAAATATCCATTTACTACTTTCCATTTAGCACTAGAATGTAACTAACCATAAGGTGTTACGAATAAATCTTTATTATATAAGTGATGCTCAAGAAAAACCCAAAATTTTATTCGTTAATTTCTATAGATCTTAACGTTTTAGCACTGAGACGTGACTAATCATAGTGAATGATAAACATTTACTACATAACCTTTATAATAAATGAGTGCGTGAGTGAAAACCTGGAAACTGATCATAGTAATCATTAAATCGGTTTTCACTCTAACGCACTCAAATTATTATTTGTCATTGCAAGTCGCATAGTGATTAACGAATAAAATTTATTTACAGGTTACCTTATGCATCACTCATAAACTAAAATGTTTATTTGTCACACAATAATCGGTCACTACTAGTGCCAAATAAAGGTGTCATATATGTTAGTCCAAAAAGAAAAATCGGAAATAACTCATATGATGACTAGTTTTCGGCCATTAAGTAAAAATTTCAACATAAATATCTTTAATATACAACATTATCACAAGAACCAACGTTTAGTGAATTTCAAGATCAATGTTATGAATCAATAACTTTAGCATCCTCATAACGAGTCAAAATAGGAACCTTTTAAGAACCTTAGCATGAACGGCAAGTAAATCGATTTTTTCATATACAGTATCGTAAGAAACACTGTAATCGGTTATGTATCCACGATCGTAGGTCTTTCATCTTGATCCTTTTGTTTCTAAGGTCGTTGCTATAAATTCTAAATTAAAGACAATAAAATGCCAATTTTTATGTTTGTTATACATAAATCATGGTTATTATTAATATTAAATGTTCATAAGTGTTGTTTATTACACAATGGCTTTACAAAAATTAAACGTATATAATTGGCGTCTTGTGCTCCATTAAGTAATTAAATCTTATTAATTCTCTCAAAGCACGGTCAAAGCACGGTCAATGTTACTACTCACACATGACACCCTTTCTTGGGTTGACCCAGTCTTTAAGATTTAGTTTTGTGCAACAATAAACTTATTTTTTAAAACAAACCTTCAACCATTATTTATTTAAAATCATAAACTGTGTACCTTTCATAATTTTTACATACATAATATCAGTTAAAAGTTAAAAATACAAATCTCTAATGTCTCAAGAAAATGGAAGAAGATTATTATATAAATGTATCAAATGTATACTAATCTTTCGTGAAAATATTGAAAATGTTGCCATAAGCCATAATTATTAAATTATTTTTTTTTTTCATAGCTACTCATCTTGTACCATCTGGTAATGAAGAATTAGATGAAGAGTTGCTGAGTGACAATCCAGAAATAAATGAATTTATTGAAGAAAATGATGGTTTAATATGGATACCTTACGAACAATTATCAAATATCGAATATCTTGCTCATGGTGGGTTTGGTGTGGTATCTAAGGCCAGATGGAAGTCTTCAGAAGTTGCTTTAAAGTGTTTAAATAATTCTAAAAATTTGACAGCTGATGTCTTACAAGAGATCGCTCATTATCAATTATTTGATCATAGTAGATATATTACTTATGTTAATCAATGCTATGGAATTTCTCAAGATCCCACGACGGGTAATTATTTAATAGTAATGCATTATTTTGAAAACGGTAGCCTAAGACAATATCTAGATAATAACCATAGTCAATTACCCTTTGGAGACAAGCTTGGACTGTTATACACGATGGCAAATGGACTATACCGTATTCATTCTCAAGGGCTTATTCACAGAGATTTTCATCCGGGTAATATACTAAATAGATATAGTGAAGAATTGCGTTCCGAAAGTCTACAATATCACAAAAAAACACAAAAAAATATTGGTTGCTACATTACAGATTTGGGATTATGTAAACCAATTGACGAAGCAAATAAAGACAAAACAATTTATGGAGTACTGCCTTACGTGGCGCCTGAGGTTTTAAGGGGAAAGCCATACACACAAGCTTCTGATATTTATTCATTTGGAATAGTTGCATACGAAATAGTTTCTGGATTGCCACCTTATTACAACGTTCCTCATGATATTTCCTTGACCATAGATATATGTAATGGACTTCATCCTAATTTAGATATTATTAACGTACCTCAGTTACTAAAGGAATCAATTATTGGGTGTTGGGATTACAGCCCACTAGTCCGTCCAACAGCTTTTGAATTACTTAACCTTTTTAGAAAATGGTATCGTGATCAGGATGAAGAATTTTATCGTCAATATAAACTGATAGAGGATACCGAAAAATCAACAACATTAGCAACATATAAGCAAACAGAGGATATAGAAAGATCAATAACAATATACCAATTACATCCGCAAGCCATTTATACGAGTCGACTACTTTATTTGTATTTGAAGGAAAATGTTTCCGAAAATTTGAATGAACTTCACGTTGAAGAAAATTAATGTAACATTACATAATATGCTGAAGGTTTTAGCAATAATGAGTATTGTCGTGCGGCAAATCGGCGAGTCTGTCGCTAATTCCTTCCAATTCTCGTGTAACCTACGGCGGCTAAGTCGAA